TCCTAGTATTAGTGCTACTACTGGTACTAGGACTATTACTCGTACTACAAGAACTAGAACTAGTAGCAGCAGTAGTGGTGGTAGTAGTAGCAGTAGCAGTAGCAGTAGCAGCAGCAGTGGCAGTAGCAGTAGCAGGAGTAGTAGTAGTAGTAGTAGTGTTAGTAGTAGTAGTAGTAGTAGTAGTAGCAGCAGCAGCAGCAGCACTAGTGGTAACAGCAGCAGCACTAGTGGTACCAGCAGCAGCAGCACCAGCAGTGGCAGTAGCTGTGGGCAGTGGTACTGTTGGTGCCGGCAGTGGTGGTGTCGGTGGTAAAGGTACAAATGGCAACAGCCGTCCCAGTACGAGCAGTGCAACTAGTGGCAAGAGCAAGCCCAAGCGGGTGAGACTCATAATGCGCAACAGTTGCCATGAACTTATCAACAACTTTCACCACAGAGGCTTGGATATGCTACATTTTCTCAACTATGCGTCATCTCATGGCATATTGCCCTGCAGCGACAAAGCTAACTGTCACAATGCCATAGCTAACAATCGCAGAAACACTGGCAATGCCCAAACCTGAAACAGCAAAAGCTCTGTGTGCCGAAACCCCGCGAAACCCGAACATGCCTGAATGCTGTCAGACAGTTTTTCTCAGGACATAAATGCTTCAATTGACCGGGGGGGGAGGTTTACAAAAAGGGAGCAAGGCTTCAACCAATGCCGCCCAAAAGGATCATGAAACCCAACATCGTGCAACTTGACGAAGTTGACAAGAAACACCTACAAACAAGGCTTGCGTGGCTTCAGAATGTTGCAGGTCCTTTCTTGGTTTTTTTGCTGGGCCCTGCTCCGTTTACAGTACCTATTATGCCCGTCGACCCCCGGAAAGTCACACAGCACCACGACGAAGGTGACGACCACGACCATGTCGACCCACCACTATACTACCAGGACACCACCATGAGACTACCCGGAGACCACCCACCAGGAGACCAGCAGAAAACCGCGGCATAGAGGACCCAGGAGACCACGGCGAAAACGCCTGCCCCCATGTCCAATATACTGGCAGGACCACACTGCTTTCAACAGCACAGCCAAAATGCTTCCCCGCATGTACTGCCGGGATCCGGTGACATGACCGACATGCTTCGAGAAACAACCAACATGCTTGCCCTCAAGTACTGGCAGGATTCCGACATTTCGAAGCCAAAATGAAGCCAATGTACTGAAATTTATATTGGATCGGCATTTCGCGAGACACGGCCGCACGGATCCTGTCTACATAATGGGCGTTTCGGGGAACCTCCCGGTGCAAGCGTGTCTCGCGAACGAATTCCCTGTACTATGACGGATGGAACCAAGTAGTGTCAATAGCGTGTACCACATTGTTTGGATAGTGTAAAATACATGTCATTTGTTATAATAGACTCTAGGCCACATCACCTGCACCGAGCCCCGAACCGCCCGCGCAGGCTTCGACAGCAGCGAGGAAGCGGGAGGCGCCCCGGTACCTCGACTTCATCCTTTTGGGTCTTGGGTCTTCGAGTTGAAGGGCAAGGCTTAAGCCGGGGACTTTGTGCGCTTGGGTATACAAGCCTCCTAGGAATTTCTCGGAGAATAGAAAGTTAACTACGCCTCAGAGGAGCATCTTCGGAGAGGGCCTTGCACTGAGCTCTGGGTCGTCATGCATGTATTTGAGGCCTAAGCCATTGGTCCAGGAGAATCGGATCACCACTTTGCCCACTTTCAATTGTGTTGTTGCTGGCATCTTCTGGCCTTATGTTGTCGTGCTGCGGCAGCTGCTGACTATTACATGCAAATACTACTGCCGCTCCTTTTGCCCACAGCAAAAATTCACACACTCTGAACAACCTAACCAAGCGCTAGTGCCGAAGCAGGACCCACAAAGCTCAAGCGAATTGCTCTCACATGCCGCACGAATACAGTCATGAAGCGCTTCGGCAGGTAAGGGCTGAAGTCTAGAGCTGGCAGGTCTTGAATACCATGATCCTGCTGCTGAAGCTTTGAGGAATCTCCCGAACACGGGCATGAGGCTTCATAATTGGAAGGCACTATCTTGTTCGATTATGACGGGTGTGCACAGTCTTATGCTTCGAATGCTTTGCAACACCTTAATTACATCGACTGCATGGCAACTGCCCTTCCCGCTAGCCTGAACCTTTTTCGTCAGCCCGGATGTCCGAACCTGCCGACTTCAATTGGGGATCGCCGAGATCAAGAGATACGTGAAGATCATAAACTTTCACACAATGCTGCAATGGTAGAAGGCTTGTGATCGTCACGCCTTCTGCATTTGCACACGATTGTCCTTCACGTCTTTGGGGTGAGCGTTCTGATCGAAGATTAGTCACTAATGCCTCGACGACGATGGCGGCGACGCCGACTACGACGTTGTTTAATGCTTGTCATACCACCGACAACTTTCGTGACAACACTACTTCTGCCTTACGTAGTGTTGCTACGGCTGAGGCTAGGGCTATTGCAGTAAGTCTGCTTTTGACTTCAGAGTTGGCCTACTACTCCTTCTGCGGCTGCCTCCTCTTACTACCACGACAACGACACGAATGGCTCCGGCTGCGGCACTTCTCCCCATCACAAAAAGAAGTGCCACAACAGCAACAGCAACAACACCTGGTAGGCTACAACTACCACAACTACAACGACGACAAGGAAAACAGCAACAAACTGCAACAGCAGCAACAACAATCACAAACACCAGCACTACCACCAATGACAACAACAAAAAAACAAGAACAATAACAATAACAAAAAGAAGAAGAAGAAGAGCAACAACAGCAGCAACAACAACAGCAGCAGCAGCAGTAGCAACAAACAACAAACAACAACGCAGAACCAACACAAAACAACCAGTAAGTCGTCGTCGTCGTCGTCGTCGTCGTAGTACTAGTACTAGTACCAGTAGTAGTAGTAGTAGTAGTAGCAGTAGTAGTAGTAGTAGTAGTAGTAGAAGTTTTGGTATTCATTCTTTTGTTCTAAATTCCCGGCACAATGTGGCCAAGAGAGCCGGGAATTTAGAAAAATTCTTTGGGCAAGATTGCCAGCAATAATGGTCATCTTGCCCCACTTGAAAGGGGGGTCAAGATGGCCGTTCAGTCTTGGTCATCTTATTTTAAATGTAACCTAGTCGGCGAGCAAGTGGGGCAAGCGGGGCAAGATGACCAGTGTCCGAGCAGGATGACCAAGCTGACAAGATTGCAAGTTGACCAAGATTTGCTTTTCAACCAATTGTTCTAAATTCCCGGCACAGTGTAGCAGTAGAAGTAGCAGTAGAAGCGGTGGCGGCGCAAGAGTAGTAGCAGCAACAGCAGCAGCAGCAGCAGCAGCAGCAGCAGTAGCAGTAGTCAGAGATTGACACTCAGGCATCTTGACCAAAGAAACACATCGCTGATGAGCAGAGCTTCAAAATCCGAAGGTCGTCTATGAAACTGCAAACTCCACAAAGCTCTAATGCCTGGGCAAACTGCCCCACGCAACTTCCCAGAACCAGAACCGTACTCGACGATAGCAGCACTGATGGAGAGTTTTGGGCATCGGCGGACAGGCGATATCGTTGCGCCCCTCTTGGTTACGACGATTACGCATTTCGTAGATCTCCAAGTTCAATAGCATGAGAGCTGTGCCCCCCTCAACAACCTCCCATCGGAGGCAATGCAAATACACTGGTTATTGTCAGCATCTTAATCAGCAGCAATCATCACCACCATCATTGATGAAGCAGCAGAACACATGGCAGAATTGTAGGTTAGGGATAAGTTGATAAATTCGATAACTATGTGTACCTGGAGCCAACACGACATAAGCAAGCCATCTGTGGAATTTCGACGCCTCCGAAGCGCTCTGCGCGGCGGCCGCCCTTGCCGCCCGTGGGACGCCGTGCCTGCCTTGAGTTGTAGGTCTGGGTCTACAGGTGCAAGGGGTTCAGTTTTGGGAAGGGGAACTCATCAGCATTAGCCTTGAAGAGAACCTGCATTCGATCAAACATCCTTTATTCAGGGAGGCGGATGGTCAATGAGATACCGGAGGTGGACTGAGGCTCATAAAACTGGGTCGATCTTGCACTGGAACATGCAGATCTCGCAACTTTAGCTGACCATCTGACCCCATTCCGGTGCCGGCTTAGAATACATGTACTACTACGGGCATTGTCCGCAGCATAAGCCATGATCAGCAGCATACACACCAGAGCTCATGAAGGAGTTGTGCAACCGTTCAGCCGGCTTCGCGCTTACGATTTAAGGTCTGGCGCCGGTTTTTGGAATACAGTTCCCACTGGCCTCACCATCTCCTCGAACCAGATGGGAGTGTCCTGCTTGGCCTGGCGGTTGGACGCAGCAACCGAGCGGGCATTCAGTTGGTAGAAACGAGGTTTCGGGTTCATATTGTTATGGATTTCGGATTTTAGGGTGTGTAAGGTTGCATGATGGTTTGAGCCATCAGCATTGGCATGCGCCAGGTGTTGCAGGTCCCAATGTGGCACTGAAACTACGAGCTGCGCACTTGTTTCTCAAAAGGAATCGAAAGCCAAGAATGTGTGGACATGATGTGGAATCATAGCAGCGACCCACGAAGACTTCTTTCCGATGACCAGGCCTCTTACGCGTGACTCCAAATCAGTTTCCTGAAAACCTTGACCCCTCGAGAGCTGCCTCGATCAAAATGTCGTACAGGTCGTGGAGGTATGCGCACCTTTCGTTCACGAAAGCCACGGCCGTACCCTGCCAGGTGCGGTGCGGATCTTGGTACCGTCTGCAACTTCCAGAACTCCGCCCTGTTCTATGCTCAAGCAGCAGCGCGGCCCTCTGCCGTCAGTCTTAAAAGGTTGCGACCATCCCCTCATAAGAACAGCGCCGAGGAGGACTCCGTTTCCACCGGACAGGTACAATCCCAAAACACATTCAGGGTCTCTGCGCGAGTCTGCTCCTTCCAGTGTGTAAGTACTCAAAATAGATCTCGATCGTACTTGTGTAAATTACACGGAAATGTACATGTGGCTGTGCGGCTGACAGGCAGGACATGGTTAGTATCTAGAAATGGATCTGTTACATCCTTATGACAGAGTAGTCCTCGCGCGAAGCATCAGACTCCTTCTGCTGATGTTATGGCTTTGGCGATGACGAACCGTGACGAACCCAGAACCCTTCCCCCAACTTTGTAGAACAAACTCGGGGCCGTCGCTGCTGGCGCATGCTCGCAACCGACTAGAAACTCGTCAAGGGAACCATCGGAGAGTGCCAAGGATGAAGCTTCATCGCCATGCTCAAAGGTCAAATAAAGATTAAACCTCAGCCCAAAGCTGTGGACATCCACAGCTTTGGGCTTGCCGCTTCCCCAATCTTATGGGCCTTGCGACCGGCACGCCCGGTGCGCCCAATTCGATGAACGTAATCGTCCAGCTGTCTGGCCAAAAGCGACACAACGAACAATTGCGCTTTGGGTGGTGTTGACATGGCATGGGCTGCAAAACAGGCGTGCACAGCGAGCTCGTGCTGTGCGGCTGATTTATTGTTGGCAAAGGCTTTGTATTGAGTTGGAGGCTTGTACAACAGCATGTTTGTCAGTTCGCAGCGCTTTTGTACCAGACGCAGTATCCGTGCCTCAACACTTCAGCCCAGCAAGTCCTAGTACGCACAGCTGTAGCATCGTCTGGAATGCACAGAACATGCTTCGGCAGAGCTATCACGCACTTCAAGACGAACAGGTTTAACCGCATAACATCCAGTATCCAGTACCGAAGTTCAAGCTGCATGCAGAGTTCCAGGGCCACCACTTTGGCATGTCGAAGTTCACCACCAACGACACGTTTGGAATGTCCAAACTCGGTACCGGGAGTGCGTTTTGCTGGCCACTTCATGGACGCGATGTGTGTTCTCTTCAGCATGTCTTGTTGATGCAGGCAAGACTGTTTCCATAAGTTTGGGCCAGCAATCATCTCTGGGGCCCCTTGCCCACGCGCAGCCACATCCGTGGCCACGAGGATCGGATTGGCCCCTGTCTTGAAGGCAGCAAGCGCCTCTGCGATTTACTTGATGTGAAGGAGTGAGTTGCTTGCACTTCAGAAATGTTGCCGTACCAGTGGCGCATCCGGAAGTTAGGCGTGCTGCCATGAGTGCTGACATTTGCCTGTGCAGAAATCATACATCGACCGACGGCACTACTTAAACAAGCCGCCCGACCAAGGTGAATGCTGCTACCAACCCATGCCCACTATTAATCATGCATGGTACACCATAAGCAGCGGCAGCAGCAGTGAGGTTGTAGTCGTGGCAGTGGTCATGATGATTGTGGTTGCAGCACTACACAAATACTAGTACTACAAATAGTATGAGTAGTAAGTACTGAGTAGTAGGTAGAAGGTAGTAGGTGTTCGTGAAAGAAGAAGAAATAGCAGCAGCAGTAGTAGTAGTAGTAGTAGTCGCCGTCGTCGTCGTCGTCGTCGCAATAGCAGCAGTAGCAGTAGTAGTAGTGGTGGTGGTGGTAGTAGTAGTAGTAGCAGCAGAAGCAGCAGAAGCAGCAGCAGCAGCAGCAGCAGTGGTGCTAGGTGGCGTAGGTGCAGGCGTGAGAGCAGGTGTATGTGTAGTATGTAGTAGTAGAGGGGCAGTTTTTATCTACCAGTGAGAGGATGAGGAATGGGAATTATCAGTACCGAACCAGGAACCGCGTGACTGCGAGAAGTGGCTTTGAGTCACACCATCCCACTTAAAATCAGTCTCTTTTTCAGACTTGTTTCCGTTTATGATGTTCGAGGTTCATGCGGGGTCTAGAGTTAGAATTCGGAGAACTCATCGGCGGATTGATGCACTCAGTGCCCCAGCAGAACCTGGAGCCGGCTGCAGAAGCTTCTCAAGATCTGACAGCCTCCTCTCGCTGTATCTGGCTTCGGTCGCCGTGGATTGCCGCGACGCTGATGCCATTCTGACAGTAGCTGGACTTCAGGCCAAACCAGCAACCCTTAAAACCGACACCAAAGGTCATGGTGCGGAAAGAACTAAGCCCAGACGACTGAAGCTATGGCAGTGGGATCAGAGGAAGAGGATGGGTTCATGCCGACAGATTCTGCATTAGTGCTTCCCTACGAGTGTGGCTGGGGCTTGGCCTTGGGAGAGGGGTGTACTGTTACACATCCCGGCGTGGACAGCTGTGCTCAAGACGCACTACCTTTGGGGTTCGGGTCAGGGGCAGAAAACAACACAGCACAGCAAGTCTGAGCGGAGGCAGAGACGTCAGAGGCGAACAGCAAGTCCCCCATTCATGATATGTTCAGTTTAAGCAAGGAAATCTTAAAATCAAAAGGCATACCAACGACGCAGTGTAAACAAACTGTAGACAGACGAGCCCCGAAGAGTGCCACTCTCTTCAGCACCATCGACTTAGACCCGAAGCACATCTCTCGCAAAACTGTGAAAGCACAAAGGCACTTTCTCCTGCAGAGCTCATGTCCCAGGCCTTGTGCAGCTCTATCTCCAGGGAGTCAGCCCCGCGTTTCGTCTCCACGAAGACCACGCAAAGGCCATCCTTAGGCAGGTGCTCCTTGACGACCTGGCGGTATCAGGAGGGGTTGGCAAACTCGGGTCCGGGGCTTGGGGCTCAGGGGTTAGGGCATCGACTTATGGGGCCTCGGAGCTTCTGAGAAGAACTTTGGTGGAGAATGCTCAGCTTTCCTGCCTTTTGATTTGTTCGGGGCCTGTTTGATTCCAAGCAAGCTGCATGCCAGGCTCTGGAACGACCTGGCACCTCTGACTTGAAAGCGGCTTCCCCCCGAAAGGGCTACTCGAATCTAGCCCTGCCAACTAAACACGACATGGGTGCGCCCAATCCAGTGGCTGTGCTCGGCTGCTATCTTAAGGAAGCCACTGTCCCTTGAACCCTGTCAAAGCTAAGATCACGTAGGTTGATTTCTTTTGCTTCAAATGGTCGTCGACGGTCAGTGGGCGTCTATGCTGTCCACGACTTCGAGGTTCCGGGCCTTCCCAGTCTTTCGTCTTTGTCTTACTTCAATCGTCAATCGACCTCCTACGTTGGTATGAGTTGTTGCTTGTAGGTGATGTGTGTGTGTGTGGGGGTATAGTTAGGGCTACCACTGCGAACACGTTGTGGATACTACGACCCGTGGCCGCAAAGGCCTCACGACGATCGCATCCATGACGAAGGAGTAAGATCGGAAGCAACAACAGCCACCGCAAGTTGCACAGGGACAATAAAAACGTCAGCTTCGGAATTCTGGATTGCTTTGGTCGTCATGAACAGGATCACCTTGAATTTCTTCATCGGCATCATCATCATCATCATCATCATCACTATCAGAACTATCATCGTCAACAGCACCGCCAGGCTAAACATATCTCTGCTTCTTGATTCTCACCACCACAGTATGGACAATTCGTCCTAAATTCCGCGTTCGTCACTGTAGAGGGTCCCATCGTTAGCAAACTCGCCATCAACATCACTAAAACACCATCAACATCACCAGCACCATTCCATGCTGATGCAGAGCATCGTCATCATCCTCTTTGTCGTCATCATCATCACCATTAGTATAACTGTCAAATCACCACCACCGGTGTCATGATCAGCAATGTCAAAAACAACGACATCACCAACACGTCAATGTCATCATCACGATGCTAAATATAGTCATTGCCATTCCATTGTCATCGCTATCTTCGTTTGCATGCTCATCAACACGAACAAAACGAACGGTAAATCATGATGTTACTGGTACCGGCGGCCACCGATAGCAACGATGATGACACGCACAGCGACGATGAAGATGAAGAAGATGGCGATGATGATATGGATATGATATGAACTGATATGGCATGGCACGGTATGATAAGATGTGACAGGATGGTGGCGGCGTTGGCGGCGGTGATGATGGTTAGATGGAACAGAGGGGGAGTAGATAAGATAACACATAGATGGAACAGAGAAAGGGTAGAGAAGATAACATATAATATAGGTGGAACAGAGGAGATAAGATAGCAAACAGAATAGATGGAACAGAGGGAGAGTAGATAAGATAACAAATAGATGGAACAAAGGGAGAGTACATAAGATAGCAAATAGATGGAACGGAGGTGGGGTAGATAAGACAACGGATGAGATAAGAAATAAATTGAACAGAGGGAGAGTAGATAAGATAACAAACAGATGGAACAAAGGGGGAGTACCTAAGATAACAAATAGATGGAACAGACGGGAGTAGATAAGATAACAATAAGACACGATAACAAATAGATGGAACAGAGGGAGAGTAGATAAGATAACAAATAGATGGAACAAAGGGAGAGTACGTAAGATAACACGTTGATGGAACAAAGGGAGAGTAGATAAAATAACACATAGATGGAACAGGGTGGTGGTGATGATGATGACGATGACGATGGTGCCGGTGGTGGTGGTGATGACGGTGGTTGTTCTGACAGTGATTGCAGTTCTGAGGTGTTCACATTTTTTGCCGGTGGTGGCAAGAGACTATGACCATGACCGGGGCAACATCAATGATGATTATGGCCATCATGACGATGCTGGTGATGATGATGATGATGATGACGATGATGATGATGATGATGATGGTGCTTGTGGCGATGTTGCTCGCGATATTCGTGCTAATTACGAGGCGGTTGCAGCCCCTGCGGCTGCCGCTGTACTGATTCTGTCGGGGCGGTGGTGGCGTGGGGGTGACTAGCACAGTTCTACTCCTGATGTAGGCTAGACTATGTATAGACTCTACACTATCGTGCAGGCACGTACCTCGAAAGTCGGATGCATACATGGTCCCCATCAGATTGAGGCAAGGCGAGTATTCTGCGAGCCATCCATGATCGCCACGGTTGTCGTGACAGCAGTTGTTCAGTGTGTCTCGTTTGCTTGATCGCTCTGCCCCAAACTGGCATCGATACAGGGACCACAGTTCGTCTAAATAGACTCACACGGAAAAATGCCGAGGGCTGTTTACGCCCATCGGAGAGGCATGCTGCCACGAAGGGTAAAGGAGCAAGCTTGACCCGAGATGTTTTCATGAGTGGCTGAAGTCAGGAAGTACTACCGTGCTGCTTGACCCAATGCTTGAAGCCTCAAACCCACATCCTGCAAGGGATGCTTCAGCTCATGCGCCCTGTACAACGACTCGGGTCAGCCTTCGATGATCTTTGCAGTCTTGGCAGTTGCGCCGCACACTTTGAAACCCAGTGCACTGCAACTAAGCGGAGCTTCGCAAAGCCTTTCGCTCTGCTTCCGGTGGGGAGGAAGCTCCGGGAAAAGAACTCTTTTGCTAAAAACTCAGCTAGACGACTGGGAATTCTTGCAGGAGCCCGACGTCCTGAAAGCCATCGAACTCACTTCCACGTATGGTCGTTGTGCAAGACTCCCATGAAACGGTGAAAGGTAAGACATTGGAAACACTGCATCCCAAGTTTGCCATGAACTTGGCCCATTGAGCCAGGTGCAAACAAGAACTTACATTCGTGCAAAACGATGAGTTTCTAAAAACAGAACCCAGCTGGGGTCGATGCGAACCTCACTGTAGAGAGGCATTACATCTAAGGCAGGCCCTGGTGGCGCGTGCAGGAGCTACGAACGAAGCAGTGCTGCTGCCTGCTAGTCGTAATAGTGACTGGAAGAAGTAGTACAGGATCTTATGGAGCTAGCAAAAAAGAATAGTCTGGGATGTTGTCGAACGAGCCACCAAAGCATTTTTCGTTTGCTTGCTGCGCTGTGCGCGCTTACTTCGCCTCAGCCGCCTCGGCACGCTCAACAGAGATAAAATTCTTCTCCGATTTGTAGGTCTGGAAAGGTTTGATCTTGTTAATCTAAAGCTCATAGTCGTAAACGACTCGATTGGCTGCCTTCCTTACAGAAGCTGTGGCCGCAGTGGTCCCGTAAATTGCGCCTCCCTCTTGCCAACATCGATGTTACGATTCTGATGATGCTGGTGATAACGATTACGACTGTTTTCTGTGAGAGTACTGCAGCACTGCGAACATGTCTCACGTGCCGGAGTAAACTCAGGACCATGGGAGCTGCAACGGTTACGTTGGACTAAACCCCGCCTGCTGGATGGCGGTGCGGCACATCATGAGAGACGACTCCGCTTGCAGCGTGTCAGCCTCGAAGGAATTTCGGGATTTCGAACAAACACAAAGTAAGCGCCTGAACGTTGGATGCAATACACTGCGTGCCCAAATCGGGGTTCCCAAAATCGGGTTCGGCAATTGAATCTTATTTGCCCTCCAATCGAGACACTTAGGGCCCCCTGGTTACGTTCAAAGCGGGGGCGGACCAGGAAAGGTCGGGTGGAACATCGTGGCCGACACCTACTGCACAGGCGGGGCGGCATAACATGGGAAGCCTGAGTATAGCATATCTATAGAGATGAACAGATCGTCTTCAGCACCCCCTGCTGCCGCAAGATGTAGATGCGACACTGACCCGAATCAACGGACGCAGGGCTCGGGGTTTGGTGTGCGGGGCTAATGAAGGATTCTTTGAGAAAAAGTTGTCCCCAAAGTTCCAAGGCTCCAACTTTACGGCACTCCAACGCCCTGAACCCCAAAACTTGCATCCAAGCCCAAGACCCTAAACACGAGATCCTAAGACTTTAGCTCCTTTAAAGGAGACGAAGACAAAAGCCCTGGGCTCTACCGGGCGCTAGGCATGTTGAGTTCCAAAGGTCCGTGCGCGGCCATCCGCCGCTGCCTGGCTCAGTGGATGAAGGAGGGCCTTGCTTGGCAGGGCCCTCGGCATGTTAGGAAAGTCTGGAGCCCTGTGGCTTAGATCTGGGCTCTTGGAGTCCAAGGGGATCAGGGCTGTAGTTTGTGAAAGCTCCTCGGTTGGTATAGGATCAGTCGCGAATGCAGGAGAACATGCAGCAATGCACTGGACAAACTCCATGGCCTTGTACAGCTTCTCGGCCTCATCCAAACGTCCTTGATCCTCCGGCACCGACAGTGAGTATGATTCCCCAAGAGCAGGACCCTTGGACCGGACATGATTCTGCAGGTCATTTGAAGCTGTGTCGGAACGTGCAAACAATCCGCATGCCTATGATCCCCAGGAGTGAAAATGGCAGTACTGCATAAAGTTGTACTCTGAGTCTCTGTGGCCGTGGCCAGTCTGCATCATTCCTAGAAACCACATCCCCCTTGCCTCTAGTAGTGTTGACGCTGCAAACAGCCAGCTCACATGCAGGCATTGCTTTGTTCGAAACCCGAGTAGCAAGCTTTCGAGATTTCGAAGAGCCCTACTGTGCGAAGTCCAGGCGTGCACCCTGCCAGCTTACGAGAAGGCGCTGTGTAATTTCTGCCATCACTGAGGGCGCAAGCAGGTCCTCCAAACACACACCCAAGTTGAAAACTGCATCCAACCTCAGATAGATGGAGTCGCTCGTAGCTTCGGCTCGTAGAGTCAAGGGAAGCACTCCGCTTTGTTAGATGATGACTAAGAGCAAATGACTTAGTTGAGGCCCATGCAATACGGTCTGCCAGGAGCAGAGGTCTTCGGCAGACTGGTTTTAAAAACCAAACTCATATCGAATCTGG